AGCAGGAGTGCATGTGAACGGCGTGATGATAGCCTTCAAGTACTGCTGCAGCCTGTCAGCCAATCCTCTGTCATGCTTTGCGGCTGCGAGACCGAGAGCTAATACGGTAAGCAGTTTGGAGATCGAACGACAACACAATGCTTCGGGAGGGCCGGTAGCAAAGATCAGCAAGGATTGTCACACTCCTGCTGTGCAAGCAGAGGAGCGTTACGTGTTGTTGGATATGCCTGTATAGCGGCTCCAGCAGCTCAGCAGCAACGCGTAGTCAGCAAGCAGCACCAGTGGAGCGGTCGGCGAGATGCCGCAGCAGATGCCTTGAAGAGCAGTCCTCGCACTGTGACCGTGCCTCGCGCAAGGGTCCAGGCTGGCCTCGTGGCTTAGACTGACCGCGCCGGAGGCCGGCGGGCTAAACCGAGAGACGGAGTGGGACCGATACGTGCTCGTAAGAAGACTTCAGCTTTCGAGCAGAAAATGTGTCGCTCCCGCCTTGACACACAACCCCACAAGTTTAATGTGGCTTGTGCGTCTGTCTTCCTCGAGGTTCCATATACTGCGCAACCCACCCGCCGTCCGGCTCTTCCCAACGTCTCAATAACAACTTAACAAACACACACCCACACGATGCTGCTTGCTAGCGACTGACAGGCAGCGCCACGAACGAAGAAAGTACAGAGGGAGCTGCAGCTCAGAAGGCATGTTGCGCCAGCACGGTCCTCATCGAACCAGCCGTCTCAGTTCACGCCTGGTGTGGGGAGGTGTGGGGAGGCGTGGGGAGATGTGGGGAGGTGTGGGGAGATGTGGGGAGGTGTGGGGAGATGCAGGGAGATGCGGGGAGATGTGGGGAGATGCGGGGAGATGCGGGGAGGTGTGGGGAGATGCGGGGGAGGTGTGGGGAGATGTGGGGAGATGCGGGGAGATGCGGGGGAGGTGTGGGGAGGTGTGGGGAGGCGTGGGGAGATGTGGGGAGGTGTGGGGAGGTGTGGGGAGATGCGGGGAGGTGTGGGGAGATGTGGGGAGGTGTGGGGAGGCGTGGGGAGATGTGGGGAGGTGTGGGGAGGTGTGGGGAGATGCGGGGAGGTGTGGGGAGATGCAGGGAGATGCGGGGAGATGCGGGGAGGTGTGGGGAGATGTGGGGAGGTACTGCGCCCCCCCCCCCCCTGACTCCCTCCTAACCCCCACTTCAGCTTCACATGCAGAAAGTAATCGCTGCCGGGGAGCCTGCGGCCAGCCGCGATGCTGCCCGGACTACTCTGCGCCGCTGTCGGCCCATCCTTGAGGCTCTCGTCCTCCTGTGGGTCTGCTGCATTGGCCAGGCGGACGGCGGCCTGCACGGCGATCGCACCGCGGCGGATAGCCTTGCCGCGGAAGCCTCCACAGGCGTCCCCCTCGCTCTCCCTTCTGCTCTCGCGCGCCTTCTCTCGCAATCTCCTTGCAGCGTGGATGGCGGCAATCATGCGGCTCTGCGCAGGCCGGAAAGCGGCGCGTGAGAGAAAGGGAGCTCTCGATACGATGTAATATGTGACGCCTGACGTGGCGTATGCTCATGCACATGCACATGACATGCTGTGCGTGTGCATGCGCATGCACATGCACGTGCTGTGCATGTGCATGTGGATGTTGTCATGTGCATGTGCTGTGCATGTGCATGTGTGGTGTGCATGTGCATGTGCAAGTGAACGCCTGCCGTCGCTTGTTGGGCGAAAAGGCGTTCAAGTCGCTGTCGACATCGCCGTGAGAACCGGAGCTTGTCGCTGCCGCCCGCCTCGCCTGCCACTGGCCAGCGGCGGCAGCGCGTGCGACGCGTGCCTGCGGAATGCTGCCACACGGACTCCGTCGCCGAATGGACTTACCGGCGGCTCGGCCGCCGGATGGGACGGCCGTAACTCGCGGGGTTCGAGCTTTTCTTTCGCCCGCCCTTGCCCCACCACCTTGTGGCTTGTGTGTGGAGACCTTAAACGCAAAGCCGTACTTGTACCTTACCTTCACTCACACGACCCCCCCCCCCCCCCTCTCCGCGAGCTGCTGCGTGCTGGGGTGTGTGCGGGGAGCGCTGGCAGCTGGGAGAGGTTCAGGTTGCGGCCGGGCGGCGCCGCGCTCAGATCCTTGGGTAGGCGGCTGATGAAAAAAGAAGTTTTGTCTGGGGCGTAGTCCGTAGAATTCGATTAGGGATTAGGGGGACGAGGCGAGCGGCGAGCCGGCGCTCTTCCACTGCGTGCACGTCTCGCCCGGACAGAATGCCCCCCTGTACAGTACTGTGGTACGGACTGGCCGCGCCTCCCCTCCCCAGCCGCCCTGCAGCCGGCCCAACCTCCTACGTGGGCCTGTTCGCCCAAAAGACGAGCGACTGGCGCAGGCCGCGCGTCACGCGCGCGCGCGTCTGGAACTTGCCGCCTCCAAAGGCGGCGCCGTCCGAGAGCAGCACCTGTGGAAAGGTCCGGGAAGGCTCCGCGGGAGGCGCCTCAGGACGGTGGCGCCGCGAGACCCGAGGGCGGCACCACGACAGTGACGCCGCGCGTGTCCTCGACGTCGTCCGAGTCGAGCTCCGAGTCGGTGTGCCACGAGGCGTAGTGCGAGCCTGGGCCGCGCGGGGGGGGGGACTTGGCCTCGCCACACACGCACGAACACCCACCCACCCACCCACCCACCCCGCGCGAGAGCCGCTCGCCTGGCCCGTACTCGGTGTATTGCACCGGCTCGTAGCGCGGCGTCCAGCGGCCGAGGGCGCCGATGGGGCACAGCTTGGCATTGAGCTCTGAGGCCCCCATCACGCCGGGGATCCACGGCCGGCGAGGCGTCCCGCCGGAGACCAGGATTGAGGCACCTGCGTCGTGGAGGACGATCGACTCGGCAAGACCCTCGCCATCACCAGCCTCTACCCGAAAACCGCATCCGCAATTCCCGCTCATCGCTTTGCGCATTCCGCAGATCCCTCAGGGAGACGCGTTCCTCCCGGGGGGCAACTCGAGCGGCCCCTATCTTGGCTCGGCCGAGCACGCCTGCCAGCGCACCTTCGAGTACTTACGGCTACTACCCCCGCCGCGGTCTTGAGCCCGCCGCGCGCAACCCGCATCCGCAGCAGGGACTGCCTGCAACCGACGCAGCCCCACTCTCTTCGCCACTCTCTTCGATCCGTAGAGTGGGGGCAGGGAGTGAGGACCCCTGTGCTATTTGTCCCGAGATATGTGGTGTTACTCGACTAGAGCCGTACGTCGACTCGTACGGGGGGGGGGGGGTCGTCTGGCCGAAGGCTCATCCAGCCATATCTCGTGGTGTGTGCACTGCCCAGTGTGGTTTCTTTATCTACATCGATGTAGGTCACGAGGCCCCGCCGTGCAGGGCGCTACGGGCTCCGGCCGGACGATCCCGGCAACGCTCCGAGTGCGCACCCGCCGAGAGGCCGATTGCCGACAGCAGCACCGCTGCGGCCTGCATCCTCGATGTCATGGATCTCGTCGATGGATTCGCAAAGACCGACGACTCGAGGTCAGCAGATCGGCCATAAGCGATGCATAGTAGGAGCATATAAGGTGATCAGTGTCTCTCTCTCTCAGTGTTAGCTCTTACGTACATTCCCGAAGGAGGACTCTGCTGACAGGGCTCAGGGGTTTGCGATGTCCGATGAGGAGCGACGCGCCGAAGGGTTTCTCGGGGTTAGTGCACCACTAACCGCCGAAGGGCAAGAGACCTCCGACGGATCGGTTCCCTTCCCGCAGATCGCTGACCGTCAGGATGAGTGGCTCCAGGTCAGTTCCAGTTGCTCCAGGGAGGATCTCCTAGGAATCCTAGAGGATCTCCACGGACGCCGTCGCGCAGCATGTCCTCTGTGCCATCGAAGAAGGCAGGGAAGACTTGCTCACGCCGCAAGTAATTGGTGAGCTTGAGAATGGGATGGACACAGAGTTGCGATCGGAATCGAATTTGACTTGGGTGTTCTCCGGCTGCCAATTTATCGGTGCCCAGGCTGCGCGGGCAGGCACGATCGGTCTCGTTGTCGCCTCGAGTATTGCCGCTGCTCCCAGCGCTCCACTGATTATTGCGGGCGGCGTTACTGGCGAGTTCCTGACTGGCATGTTAATTGTGGCCGATGAGGCAAAAAAATCCATGTCGCCAGCAAAAAAACTGAGACGGCAGAAGAGATCGCATTCACGCAGCGATACGACTTCGCGCTTAAGAGCCTGCTCAGGCATCTCGTGCACCATCTCCTGACTAGATGGTGGGCGGTGCCGAGTCGCACGCGTGCCACGGTCCCCTCACAGCGACAGTGTTTCCGAGTCGGCTGTTTGCGCCCCCCAGCCCGCCAGCGCGGCGGCGCCGGCGCAGCGCCATGCCCAGCGCGCAGCGCCAGCGGGCCTGCCGCAGCGCGACGCGAAAAAGTGTTTGCCGGCATTTTTGTGCCGGCGCGTTTAAGGTTGCTCCCGGCCCAGTGGGGATTTTGGCCTACTCAGTGATCGTCTAGAAATCCTAAATGGCCTGCAATGCCGTATCTTTTGTGCCTAACATGTAGAGCACCTTGAAAAACTAGTATGTCTTGGAGTGAAAAGTTTCTCGATGAGGTGGGGATCCGTGGTGAGCAGATTCCCAGATTCTCCAGATTCCCCTCGAAAACCGCCCATTTTAATTCATTGCGGCCGCGGGTTTGCTCGGATTACTTTTCCCTCGAAGACATACTAGTTTTTTGGCGTTCCGGTGCGCCTACAAAAAAATATTCTGTGAGCCCGAGAGCGATATGCCATGTCCGCCTTGCGTGTTTTCATAACATCGAAGGCTAAGCTCAAAAAATATCCGATATGATATCGAGCTGACCACAGGGTTTGCCGCGATCACTGTCCTACCAGCGGACACAGTGGGCCGCAGACACCCGTGAATGACCTTAAAGACAACACGTCGTGCTGGTCTTTATAGAATTAGAGTCGTAGCAGTGATATCTCGAGCCCGCAGACCGCCGAAAAACGCGTGATAGCGCGCCACACATACGCGCCAACATCAGGGACACACTCTCTCTAGCGCCCGGGCGTGGCGGCCGCCCGCAGCGTGCCCCATAGGCCCTGCTGCGACGTCGCCTTGCGGCTGCGCGCCGCCTGCAGCCGCACGACCGTGGGCGGGTCGATGCGGAGGAAAGTGGCCAGCACCTGGAAGAGCGAGTCGGCGGAGGCGGTCCCGTCCTCCTCCTCGATGTACTTGATGATGACGGAACGCAGGTAGGCGAGGGACGTCTCGCCGCCCGCGCCGCCCCCGCCGCGCAGCTCCCGCTCCGCGACCTCGAGCCGCGCCTCCGCCGCCGACAGCTTCCGGCGCGCGTCCGCGAGCTGCCTCCTACTCGCCGACACCAGCCACGCTCAGCCGATCTCCGCCGAGATTCGACGAGAGGGGCCGAGAGCAGCAGCCGCTGCCTCAAGTACACCTCCTCCGCGCCGCCGCCCTCCGCCCTGTCGGAATCGCGGGCCTCCGCCGCCGCCGCCGCCGGCCTCGTCGCCGCCGGCGAGGGCGGCGAAGCGGCGGCCGCCGACGTCGCTGCCGTCGCCGGCGGCGGCGGCGGCATTGGCGTGCGGCGCGGAGTGAAGAGCGAGGGCGGCAGCAGCCCGTTGAGCATGCCGCCGCCGCCGCCGCCGCGCTGGTTGCGCGCTCTCTCGAGGCGGCGCATCTCCTATGGATGCCTCGTCTCGCCGTTTCGGCAACGGGTTGGACTGCGAATGCGCCCGCTCGGCGGCGCATCTCCTCGGGCGTGAATTGGAGGCGCAGCGCGAGCACCTGGGGTGTTTGTCATTATCGTCGGTGTTATTATTATCACGTGTGTGGGTGAGTGCGGGTGAGGTGTGTTGGAGGTGTGAGCATGTGTGTGGGAAGGCAGCGGCAGCACCTGCAGCAGGTGGCCGTCGTCCGCCTCTCCAACCTCCAGGAACTTGAGCAGCGTATTCTTGAGGAACGGGTCCTGAAAGACACACGAACAGACGCCCATCACACCTCCATCCTCAGTCCGAGATGAGCCAGCCTCTTCGTGACAGAAGCGATCCTCCGCCGCCACCGCTCCTCCGGCCGCGCCGCCGCCGCCTCCGCCGCCGCCGCACGAACCGCGAGCCTGCTCGAGATTTGCCGAGATTGCTCGAGATTCGCCGAGATCGCCCGAGATTGCCGGGGATTCGCCGAGATTCGCCGCGAGCCTGCTCGAGCTCGCTCCTCGCGCGCAGCAGCCGCCGCTCCGCCTCGGCGCGCGCCCGCTCCGCCTCGACTCGCGCAGCGCTCTCCGTCTCGAGGCGCGCCTGCAGTGCGGCGTGCCAGATCTCCCCACATCTCCCCCATATCTCCACACATCTCCCCACATCTCCCCACATCTCCCCACATCTCGAGGCGCGCCTGCAGTGCGGCGTGCCGCTGCAGATCGCGCGCGATGCGCTCGTCGACGCCGTCAAGCAGCGACGGCGCCGCGTCCGCACCGCCGTCCACCCCTGGCGGGCTCGCCGCTCGGTCCGCAGCAGCTCTGGCCCCGTGCGGCGCCAGGGCCGCGCTGTAGGCGCCGTGCGCAGCGGAGGGCGCGGCGGACGGCGAGGAGGCACTGTCAGAGGCTGCCGCCTGCGCCTTGCTCGCTGCCGCCGCCGCGCGCAGGGCCTGCAGCTGCGCCTGCAGCGAGCCGGTCTCCTTCTCCTTCTGCTCGAGGAGCTTGCGCGCCTTTGACTTGGTCTCGGCCGCCGCCGCCTGCGCTCGCTTGGCCTCCGCCGCCTGCAGCAGCTCGTGGGGGAGAGATGGGGGAGATATGGGGAGATGAGGGGAGATGTGGCCTCCTCCGCCTGCAGCAGCTCGCGCGCCTCAGCCGCGTCTCTCGCCGCCACCGCCGCCGCCTCGCGCGTCGCCGCCGCCTCCGCCTCCGCCCTCGCCGCCTCCGCCTCCGCCCTCGCCGCCTCCGCCTCCGCCTTTGGCACGACGTCGGCCGACACCTCGACGTGAGCAGACGCGGCAGGCGCCGTGCGCTCTCCCTCCACAGCGCCGGCGGCGGAGGCGGATATGGTGGACATGGCGGCGGCGTTGGCGGACGTGGCGGCGGCGGCGGCGGGAGCAGAGGAGGAGGAGGAGGGGAAGGAGGAGGAGGAGGGCCGGGCGGCGGCGACTCCATTCCCTTTCTGCGACAACTGCCCCTGCCGCTGCTGTTGCCCCTGCCCCTGCCCCTGCCGCTGCTGCTGCCGCTGCTGCTGCTGCACCCGCGCCCTCTCCTCCTTGAGCTGCTCCAGAGCCTGCGCCTGCGAGCGAGCCTCGGCGAGGGCGAGCCGCTGCTCAGAGCGCGCCTCGTCGACCGCGGCCTAGTACCATACCTCCAGAGGATCGAACCCAGTGTGGGTTCAGTCCCGTGGGCGGTGCGGTAGAGCCTCCGCGGCGGCGAGCGAGGCGCGCAGCGCCGTCCGGTCAGTGTCTGCGGCGGCCATCGCCTCCTCGACTCTCTGCAGCGCCAGCTGCGCCCTCTTGAGCTCTCTCGCTTGCGCGGCGACCTTGTCCGCCAGCATCGCCTACGTCAGTCTCTGCTGCCGCCTCTCATCTTGTGATCTCCTCTTGCCCGACCTCGCCAGTCGGCGTCGCCTGCCGCACGCGACTCGAGTTCACGAGGCCGCCCCGCGTCGCGGGCGTCCCCGCCGCCGCGCCCGCCGTCGCGCCAGCTGGCGTGGCGGGAGGCTGCTGCGGTCCCGGCGGCGGCGGCGGCGCAGCGGCGGCGGCGGCGGCGGCGGCGGAGGCAGCGAGCTGCGCTTGGGTGAGCTGGGCGTGGAGGGCGGCCCGCTCGGAGCGGGCGGCTGCGGCGGCGAGCCGCAGCTGCTCCATCTCCTCCTCCTGCTTCTTGATCTTCCGCAGCGCGCGCAGCTTGGTCGCGTTGAGCTCCTCCTGCAGAGCCGCCGCCCGCAGGCCCGCCCGAGCCGCCTCCGCCGAAGCGGCGGCCGACTGGGCCGGCTGTGCCGCTCCGGCCGTGGTGGCGCCGCCCGCCGCCGCTCCAGCTCGCTCCTGTGTCGGCTGCGGCTGCGGCGCCGGCGCCGGCGTCCGGTGGGGCGGCGGCGGCTTCCGTGCGCCATTCTCAGGCGGAGGCGCGTTCGGAGCTCCTCGATTGCTCTGCCGCTCGTCGCCACCGATCGAGAAGGCGCCGGCCCGCGCGGGCTTCTTGCGCTGCGAGGCAGGGGCGGCGGCGGCGATAGTGCTGGTCGCCGCCTTCTCGTCAAAGCCCATGTCCCACTCGGACACCTTCTCGGTCAGCGCCGCGGCCTGCACGGCGGCGACGCTGGCGGCCTCAGCCGCAGCCGCAGTCGCCGCGGCGGCGCGCTCCTGGATCGCTTGCGCAAAGTTCATCGTGCAGGGATAGAGCGTTTACCGAGGCATCGAGCCGGCTGCTGCTCCCGCCGCTGCTCCCGGTGAGGCTCCGCTGCTCCCGCGTCGGCGCCGCTTGCGACTGCTCGCTGTGAGTTTTTAGTGGTTGTGTCAAATCACCCGGAGTTTTGTTTTAGGTGTGTTGTTGGCACTGTGAGTGACTTCTTGCAGCTGACGCAGTCTCGCCGAGGCTCGCCCCAGCATCTCTCGGGTTGACTCGGCCGGGCAAAAACCCCGAGAGGCGTGGGAGTACCTTTGTGTTCTGGCAAGTATGGCTTTCTCTTTCTTTCCAATTCACCCATCCCTCCTTATCAGAACTGAGGCCGGTTTGTTTCTGTTGAGCACCGACACCGAGAGGCACCCGGATCAGCCCACATGCCCTTCCTCCCCTCTCTCGTCCTCCTGCACTCGCTGGCGATGTTTGCGCCTCCCTTACGATGGCCGGCTCCACGCCGTCGCCCGCGCGGTGCCGCCGCGCTCGGACTCGGCGACCTCCTCGACGCGGCCGCCGAGGGCGACCTGGCCGCCAACATCGAGGCCGTCTCCCTGCTAGCAGCCTCCGCCGTTGGCGTCGCCGCGGCGCGCAGCCTCGTCGACGAGGGCGAGCCGCCGCCGCCGCCGCCGCCGCCGCCAGACGACGACTCTCCCGACGACACGGGCCTCGTCGCCGTCAGCGTGGACCTCGGCCAAGACGGCGAGCCGGCCGGCGTCGCCCGCCTGAACTTGCGGCCGCGGCGGCGGCGGAGCGACATCCTCCTCTTGGAGCGTATGCGGCTTCCGCTCGGCCTGGTGATTGAGGAGGTTGCGGGCGAGATCGTGGTGACGGGCGCGCTTCCGGGCTACGGCGCGGTGGGGCAGGCGGCGGAGGGAGACGTCGTGCGCGGGCTGACGGCGTGGGCGCCGGTGTTGGCGGGCAGCCCGATGTGGCAGCAGGTCACTTCCGGCACGCCGCTCGGCACGCGGCAGCTCAAGCGCGTCCTCTTCTCCGCCGACGGCGCCACCTTTGGCGACGTGCGCGGCGCGATCGCGTCGCACCGCGCCGACGCCGGCGGCGACGGCTACGCCACGCTCATTGTCGAGCGGGTGAGGGAGGAGGGCGAGCCGGCGGGAGCGGTGTCGCCGTCGCAGCGGCCCTCGCTCGAGCCGCTCGGCGCAGTCCTTGCTCGCGACCTGCGGCTGCCGGCCGGAGGCGACGCGGCGGCGGCGGGGGTGGACCAGCGGACGTGGGCGGAGCGCGCCGGAGCGCTGCTCGGCGGAAGCGGCGACGAGGACGACGAGGGTGGGCCGGGAGGGGAGAGCAGACGGTAACTGAGTTAAAAGGACGGAGAACAGTCAGGGCGCCGCTGCCGGTTGGCGCGAAAAAGGTTTCTTATTCCGCATGCAAGTGACTGCGCTCCCGCTACACCCGACCGCTACGTACGTGGGCAAGGGCTTCCCAAAGTTTGGCCAGCCGCGCGAGATCGCCCACTTCTCGCGCGACGCCTCGCGGCGGGTCCGCTTCGACAAGAGCGGTCTCGGCGCCTACCGGACGCCGCGGCTGCCAGCGGCGCTTGACGTGGGGTTTGAGAGCTACGTTCCTAAATCGCACGACCCAAACGAGCCCGCGCCGCTCGGCGACGTCGTCGCCGCCCTCTCCCACAAGGGCGTGCGCACCACCGACGCGCACATCCTGACGTACCGCAACAACCTCAACAAGATCTTTGGGACGGTCTACAACCGGAAGGACGACTGGGAGGTTGGCGTGGAGCGGTGCGCCGACGGCACGGTCCTGCTGCACGTCATGGACACCGAGCGCAAGCGGGCGGAGGAGGCGAGGCGCGACGAGCGGCAGCAGCGGATGTCCTACTGGGGCTACAAGTTTGAGCAGCTGGATTCGACTAGATGCCGCTCCGAATGCAGCACAGCACCCGAGTCCAAACTGCCGCCCCTGAGCAATACACGACGACCTTCGCACACAGTGCACAACACGCTGCACGCGGCCGTACTCGCGTCCTGATAGCGGCGTCTCCACGGCGCAGGCTGTCGACACACCATAGCTCCCCATATCTCCCCATGTCTCATCTCCCCATGTCTCCCCCATATCTCCCTCAGGCTGTCGACCCTCGACGGCGGCGAGGACGACGGCGGGCCGCTGCCGCCCGTCAACGCAAACGAGGAGTTTTGCTCGAGCGTCCACCAGATGCGGAACATGCGGAATGCAGACCAGCCAGTCACTCCAGTCTTGCACGCGGACGGCGGGTGTCACACGCACACGCACGCTGCGCACGACTGGCTCGGGAGCCAACACGAGGCTGCTTCCCTTGCCTTCGCCGCCCTCGTGGCAGCGCTGCACTCCCTGCCGTCGTCGCCCTCGTCATCACGCCCCTTGGGGCTCCACCGCCGCTGTCCAGCTCTCCACCACCGCAGGATTGTCCATAGCTCCCCATCTCTCCCCCTCTCTCCCCCTCTCTCCCCCACCGCAGGATTGTCCAGCTGTCCATCGACCGCACGAAGCTCTTCATGGCGGCCGAGATCGACTGCGCCGCCACCGGCGGTGGCGGCGCCCCAGCGGCGGGGTGTGTGGATACAGCCGAGGAGGCGGGAGAGCGTCGCGGCAAAGCTCGGCTCTCAGGCTTGAGCGTGCTGGCTGAGTAGGTGGGCTGAGTGAGATCTGGGGAGATATGGGGAGATATGGAGCGTGAGTAGGTGACTGAGTGAGCCCATCCGCGACTCTCGCCCCAGCCCTTGCCCTAGCCACTACCCCGACTAATCCATTTCGACTCTCGCCCCAGCCCTTGCCCTGGCCACCCCTTGACTAGCCGACAAAACCCTCAGCACTCACCACCCCCCTGGGCCATCACTGCAGGTACGTCGAGCTGAAGACGAGCAAGCGGCACGCGTCTCCCCGCGATGAGGAGACAGTGGTAGCAGCAGTAGTAGCAGCAGCAGCAGCAGCAGCAGCAGTAGGAGTAGGAGCAGTAGCAGCAGCAAGCGACGAGGAGCAGTGGGTAGACATGCACACGCCGTCTACCTGCCGTCCGCCTGCCGTTGCGCTTGCTGTGCTCAGGAGAGCTTCCAGCGGCACAAGCTCTTCAAGTACTGGCTGCAGGCGGCCCTCCTCGCCCTGCTGCCGCCGGACAGTGCCGGCCCTGTCCAGGACACGTCCATGACATGTCCGCGGGTTTGCCCTGCAGTCCTTCCTCGCGGGAGTGCCGACTGTGCTCGTCGGCTTCCGCGACGAGCGAGGGACGGTGCGGCGAGATTGCGCGAGATGGCGGGAGATTGCGCGAGATGGCGGGAGATTGCGCGAGATTAGGTGCACGAGCTCAAGAGCTTCGAGACCTCGACGATGCACAGGCTCGTGCGCGGCGCGCGGGACTAGATGCGGAGTCTGTATCCCGGGGCCCTACCTCCTACCTCCTTCCTCGAGGTGGACAAAAGCGGACACCCCAGTAGTAGCGATGGGTGAAGCAGCGGGGCCCCTACCTCCTCCCTGCTGTCTTTGTGCAGGCCCGAAGCTGAGACACATTTGTATTCCGACGACCCCTCGAGAGGAGACGCACTCCGCCGCATCCCGCCGCATTCCGCTGCCTTCTTTGTACTCGTAGCCCCTCGCATTTACGCGGTGCCACGGATGCATTGGTGTACTCACTGCTCACCCACGTGCGCCGGGCCTTGCACTCTGAATCCTGCCAACCTGCCGTTAGGCGCGGGGCGAGAGCCCTACTGGGAGCCCGCCGCTTGCATCAACTTTGGGAAGGGCGTGCTCGAGTGGCTGCTCGCCTCGCTCGCCGCCAACCCCGCCGCCGCGCACTACGTCATGCGGTACGAGCCGCGCCAGTCGGCGATCCTCCTGCTGCAGCGCGATAGCGGCGGCGGCGGCGGCGGCGGCGGCGGCGGCGGCGGCGGCGGCGGCGGCGGCGGCGGGGAGGACGGGCCTGCGTACCGCGTGCCGTCGCCGTCGGACGCGGGCTCGTACGAGCACCTCTTTGGAAGGGAGGCGGTGGCGGCGCTGCACCAGCGGTACGGCGGGAGCGGGGGCGCGGGGGAGCCGCCGACGAAGCGGCCTCGCGCTGCCTTTTGAGAGCCCACACTGATGGTGTGGGAGATGGACGTGGACGTCGAACACAACTCATGCAAGTAATTGTTGAGCTGAGAAAACGGATAGGCCGATGACTTTTAAAGGACTTGTCCTTTACAAAAGGACACCTTGATCTCGCGTTTTCGCTCCCATTGAGCTCTCTGCAAGCCTCTCCTGGGCATTGAGGTATGCTACCATGTCCACCTGACAGCCTCCAGGCGGCGGGGTCACGACCCAGCCCAAGCAACACATTCAAAACCGACCCGGAGACGTACCCGCAACCGCTTGTCCTTTACGCCCGCTAGTCCTCATCACTGTCTACAATCACCTGCCGCTTGCGTAGGGGGGGGGGCTGCAGCCTGGGAGGAGGGCGCTGCAGGCCGCTTGGCACCTTTGGACACGCGCCCAAGCACTCCCTTCACCATCTTCTTCACTATGAGCCCGCCCGGTTTTGAGCGTGCGTCCCAGTCGCTGCAGCGGCTCTGTCAGCGGACCAATCTTGCGGTAGCGGCGATCAACTGCTGCTGCTTGGCGTTGCGCCTTCGGGGAAGGATGTGGTCCTCCTCTGTCAGGTGGCTGTTGGTGGTGAAGATGCGTGGCATGTACTGCGGGAGGGTGCCATTGTTGTAGCGAGCGGCATTTGATGCGCTCGCTTGGCGGTGAGCTGGCTCAGCACGTCTTCATTCGAGAGCTCGCCGCGGCCGAGTGCGGCGTACGTCAGGTGGTAGTTGCGGGCGGGTTGATGACGCTCACGTCGGCCGGGGCACCACCCACTAGCTGCATGATCACCGGCTGGTCACTGATCACCGATCACCGGCCTTTGGAGAGTTTTCTAGGAGTTACTTATTCAGACGGTGATCGGTGATCAAGTTTCGGCGGCACGTAACGTCCAAAACAAGGCCACGACTGTCGTCCCCCGGCACCACCGGGCACGGGGAAGTCGCGAAGGGCAAGTGGAGTGCGGGAGGTACGACTGGGCCGGCGAGCGGGGGCGCGCGTGGCGCCCTTCATGAACCTGTCCTTTTAGTTAGGACAAAAATCTTTTTAAAAGGACACATGGGGCTATCCGAAAACAAATGAGCAAAAATTGTTTCTCTTTCATCGGTTCGTTGTTACTGCATACTGGGATAGAGCCGTACTGCATATACTGTGGTCATGACTGTGGTCGTCACTTGTAGGGTTGTCAAACGTTAGGAAGAGCTGAAAACAGTGAATTGCTAGTGTTAACAGTAACAACAGAACAACAGTGGGGCTCCCCAACAACACGCCAAGCTGCAGAAACGAGCTTTTAGTGCTTATGAGCATAAGCACTGGATTCTCATGCGCGCGGAGCGCGCCGGTGCTCTACCCGGACACGCGCGGAGCGCGCTAGCTGGACACCGCACACGCGGAGCGCGCTAGCTAGACACACACGCGCGGAGCGCGCTGGCTAGATACCGCGCGGAGCGCGCTGGCACCTATGTGCGCGGAGCGCACCGCGGTAGAGTCTAGACACATGAAGACAGTCTGTTGCAGTCAGTTGTGGCCACGCGGCTTCGGCCTGACGTCGTAGCACTCGGCTGGCAGACGCTGTGTCTCTGCCTTCTTCCGCGTCATGACCAGACCCCGCTGCAGCGAAGCTCCAATGCCGCCCCTCTGTGCACGTGACCTGTCGTTGTGGTGAAAGCGGTCTTCCCAGTTGAGCCCGCCCCAGTTCTCGAGCGCACGGTTGATGAAGGGCACGGCGACGGGATGGTACGGCTGGGGCGCGTTCCACGCGATCACAGCCTCCTCAGTTGCAGTGACCCAGTTGCCCTGGCGGTCGCAGCGGTCCCACACACCGCCCATGCCCTGAGCGCGCCGCTGCAGAACACGCGCGGAGCGCGCCGCTGCATGGGTAGGCGCGGAGCGCCGCCACTCGAGATTGGGCCTGTGGGTGGGCCGAGTGGTTCCAGCGTGTGAGTCAAACTCTTAATAGAAATCGCATCTAGCCCTCCACAACCCTCAAAATTTTCCTCGGGGCGCGCTCCGCGCGCGGCGCTCCGCGCCTACTCCTTGAGCGTCAAAGCGTCATAGGCACTGGTTCGCACATGTTCTGCAGCTTGGCAACAACAGTAGCTAATAACGTTCACCGACTTAGGGTTGTCAAACGTTAACTTTGGGCCTAACAGTTGCACTATTGTTGGCTGTGAAATCCTCAACGTTGTTCAAGTGAGAAGTGTTCTCCCCAGCCGCCAGCCCAAGCTGTTACTGTTTGTTACTGTTGTTACTGTTGAGTGTTGTTCAGTGGTCAGCAAGCAGAAAATGCCAAAAACCCGGGTAAAACCCGAAAATACCTGGTTTTCCCGGGTTTTTTCGGGTATTGTACCCGCACTGGACGCTGGAGATCGTCGTGGGTCACTTCCAGGGCGCACCAGGGGCCTTCCTTATTGTTGTTCAGCCGGCGTCTCTCGGTGTTTTGTCCCACCCTGAGCATTGTGCTCCTCCCGCCCTGGGGGTTCGTTGTGCTGTCTTCCTCCTCCTCCGCCGTGTGCCGGGGAGTCGATCAGGCAGTTCACTTTGGGGGCTACGGGTATCCCCCCTGGCTATACTTTGAGATTAGGCATCATACTGTAAAAGTGGTTCACAGTGGAGGCGGTCGACGTCTCCTACGTCTGCGACCCGCGGGCGCCTTGCGTGCAGAGCCCTTAGCCACCCTTTATGTCTTGCGCGCTCATAAAATAAATTGGGTTGAGTTTTTCACTCGCACCCTTTTCGGCCCGCGTAGCAGCCCGCACATAGTCCATAGAGCGAACCCTGGCGGTCACTGGCCTGCCGCTGAGCGCGCCGGCGCCCGTCTACCTGCGGAGCTGGATCAGGTGGATGAGGTCGTTGCACCGGTCGGCCGCGTAGATGCGGCCACGCGGGCCGACGCAGAGGCCGCGCAGCATGGGCTGCTTGCCGCCGGGCGGGCAGAGGATGGCCCGCGACTCGCCCTCGGGCGTGAAAGCCTGGGGACGGTGCGGGGTGGGGTGGGGGGGTGGGGCGGGGGGTGGGGGGGCGGGGTGGGGCGGGGCGGGGCGGGGCGGGTGGGGGTGGGGCGGGGCGGGAGGGGAGGGGGAGGGGGGATTGAAGTAGAGAGGGAGGCCGCAAGCAAGGCTGCGGGGAGAAATGCTGCCGGACTCCAAGAGAGGCTGCGGGGAGAAGAGTGGCGGCAGGGAGAGTGCCGCGGGTGCAGGCGGCAAGTGTGAGAGGGCCTGGATGCGGCGGCCGTAGACCCCCTCCGTCACAAGGACGTGCCCCGCCTGACGGGGCAGTCCTGCATTCATTCTCCCCACATCTCCCCATATCTCCCCCTGTCTCGAGGCCCCGCCTGATGAATGACACCTCTCCATTCACTCATTCGTTGTGTTGTGACCCGAGAGATGCCCGTATCTCCCGTATCTCCCCGTATCTCCCCGTATCTCCACCACGAAGTGCCCCGCCCGCGTCGTACACACACACCACAACTCAGAGCGCGGAGCGGCGCCGTGCTGTGTCTTGGGGGCATCGCGCGAACACAACAGGTCCGCAAGCACACGGGTCCGTCTCCCGCATCTAGGGTGCGATCTCAGAGGTCTCCCCAGATCTCCCGCATCTAGGGTGCGATCTCCCCGTATCTCCCGCATCTAGGGTGCCCCGCCGCGAAAGCGACTCCGGCCGGGCCGCGGACGCAGCCGGGCGCGTCGCCGAAGGTGGAGAAGCAGTGGCGGTAGGCGCCGTCGTCGGCCGAGAAGACGGAGATGCGGTGGTTCTCGCGGTCGCAGACGTAGACGCGCCGCTCGCTCACAGTGAAGGCGCACGGCGAGCTGAGCGCGCCGCGCTTGCGCCGCGACGCCATCACACGGCTGTGCCTACGCGACTCGGATAGGTCTCGGACTGTCGTGGACGTGTCTCGGACGTGTCGTGGACGTGTCGTGACGTGTCCCAGAGTCTGGCGACGCCGTCACAAGCTGCGCCACTCTCGTCGGCTGTGGGAAGGGCCCCATCTCGGGTCGATCTCGGGTCGATCTCGGCTTGATCTCGGGTCGATCTCGGCTCGATCTCGGCTCGATCTCGCCACTCGTCGGCTGGGAAGGGCGGGATCGTCCCCTCCTCGTCGTTCCCGCCGAAACTGAAGCGCGCGGGCGCCGTGCCGACCCGCGGCTTCCCCGCCGCAGACACGCCCGTCCTCCCGCCCCTCGCGCACATCTCCGCCGCGTCGAAGGCCGCGATCCGGTGCGCACTGCGGTAGCAGGCCCAGAGGGTGCCGCCTCCTGCAGGAAGGGTCCGAGAAGGCTCTGAGCAGGCTGCGAGAAGGCGAGCGCGCCCACGAGACGCCGCCGCCGCGTGGCGAAAAAGGCGAACGCGAGGTATGGGGAGGTATGGGGAGATCTCGGCTAGATCTCGATGAAGAGATCTCGGCCAGATCTCGATGAGATCTCGGCCAGTCCTCTCCGTGTGTCGAGAGCTCGAGTGCGACGGGGCCGCGCGTGGTGTAGTTGGGGTGAAGCCGGGCTGCGTGCGCAAAT